GTATGATATGCAATGGTTCTGTGTCTAATTTCGTTAGCGTCTCTCTTTCAGGTTACTTTGAGGCGCACGCCCTGGCAAAGGATTACCGCAGCTTGGGCTTCAGGGAGTGTTTGGCTGAGACGGCTCGCTTCCTCAGCATCATGGAGGGCCGGGACAGCGCAGACCCCCTCCGTGTACGTCTGGTGGCCCACCTGAGCAACTATGCGTCTCAGAGGGAGGTGCAGGCCGGACTGGAACACTTAGCCTGGGGCTCGGCCTACGGCGGCGCCCCCGCTCCGATGCCCCACCCCCTCCTGCTGCCACCCCCCCAGGCTAGGACGCCGGCGTCCAGAGGAAACAGCCGCCCACCCTCCACGTCCTCCTCGGAGACCTCGGCGACGTCCAGACTCCTTCCCCCGACAGAGTCTCTCAGGGCGCCCCCCAATGGCTCGCTGCCCCTCAGTGTGCCAACGTCCAAGCTTTCGCCACCACTCCTGTCGTCGCTCTCTTCACTTTCGGCCTTCCCCCTTTCCTTCGGTGCTTTCCCGCTTGTGCCCCCGGCGGCCCTCGGCGCAGTCGGCCCCCCCTCCACCCTGCCCAAGCCTTATAGGCCATGGGGCACAGAGATCGGGGCCTTTTGAAGACAACAACGAGACTGAGGCGGCAACAGCTGAGCTGGGCCACGATCACATGGCCATTTGTTTTCCAAGCAATAGACAGGTGAACACAACTGGCCTGATTTGACTGTTTGTCAAGAATGTTATTGCTGATGGATGGTGTTTAATATTTGCTAAGATGAAATACTGAGCGCTGGATGATTGTATTTTATAAATTCAAATAAACTAATTTAGCTAACGTTCACTCTGTGGCTTAAGGACCGAGACGCATTAGTGGCCTCAGTACTGAACCTTTTCAAGCTGTCAAGGAACAACATAATATATGTATTTAATATAGAGTGGGATAATTTGGTCTGCTCGTTTGTATCAGGACTATTTGGAAAGCTAACTTGCTCACATTGGGACTCTTGCCTTTTTATATCTGTAATATTTTTGTATCAATAAATAAAAGTCAGAATTATCTTTTTCGGCCAAGTGTGTTGAAATACACAAGGAATTTGTCTCCAGGAGGTGGACTCTACTCTAAATTTATGTACATTTAAGACACACTGTATACACACGTAGGAAGATTATATGATATCAGAGTGCTAATGAAATGTGCACATTTTATGGACTGTTTTTTTTTTTTTTTATCCACTCATTAGATGGACCTATTAGGATGATATACACATACAATACCCGGTAATCTTAAATTTTGTTTTGCCAGTGTAAGACTTGTGTCCTCAAACATGTAAATTATTGTGGTTTTAGTTTTGTATTTTAATATTGGGCCCCTCTTATGATGCATAATGTAAAAAAAAAAAATAAAATCTTTTTTTTTTTCCTTTTCTTACCTTATAACCTACCAATGTTGCCTATAATTGCAATAATAATGATACTAATTTTTGTATCTCTTACAGCACTGGCGGTCAAACTTTTGAAAAGTTAAAACCTGTAAAATATACAACATTTTCATATGGAAATAATAAAATCTTTCTAGCTATTTTATGTTATTAATATCTGAATTATGATTTGACCAATGATAAATAATAAAATAGTTTATTGCAGTAATATGTGTATTAAATCAGTTAAAAGTATTTAAAGATGTATTTAATGTTGTAAATGATAATTATCCAATTAATAGGATAAAAACAATGCTAAATTAATGGAAATATTCTGTGTGCGAGATTAGAAATCAGCAGGTCGTATACAGTATAGCCCCTGGACCATACTTTGCCCACCCGTGTCTTACAGTATCTCAAACAAGCCTTATCTTTGGAAAGCGGAACTGTTGGAACAGGTCAAGCATGCAGGTGTACCTAATGAAGTGCCCAGTCAGTGTGCGCAGGTGCACAGTCACCAAAAAACCCATAAAAGCTAATAAGAAAGTAATGAGGTTCCATTTATGGACCGCAGCGGCCATTCCTTCGCTTCGTGCCAGGTAAGTAACCAAATCCAAGAGTATTGTTACCCTTCTGAATAGCCAGGAAATCATTAAGAGCCACAGGAAATCCTTTACAATGTTGCCCTGACCTCACTGTCTTGGGTTGGTCCAAAGCGGAGACAATAGTGTGAACAGGATGCGAACATTGGAGGGAAGCGGTCACGACTAAAGGCAACACACGCATGGCAGCTGCGCCTCTAAATCACCGCTCCAGTCCAAGGAGAGATTTTTTAAATATTTTATTCAAATGTAATCTTAGGAGACAACTCATTGAACTGAAGCAAATCTTAACACATAGGCAATTCCATTGGTCAGCAATTTGTTTACAGTTTTTTTTTTAATCAGAGATGTAAGAAAACTTTTATTATCATCATCATCAATATAACAAAGATATATGTACAATAGCAAGATATTTAGTAATATTAATGAATTAAGTGTTAGGTTAAGCAACAGGTATAATTTTTTTCCAAACATCCTAACTTTATATCACAACACATGGTAAAAACTGTATTGCGCAAGCTTTTACACATGAAAAGGGGAAGTCAAATTTCTTTACAATAATATGTTCTACTCAACACCACTAGTATAAAGATGGCACTCTGATTAATATTGTGTTTGTACAATCTGAATTAATCAGCAAAATCCAACTGATTTCATCCATCTCAGTGGGCGGCCATTTTGCCACTTTCTGTCAATGAGAAATGACCTCACAGTTGCTCAGGTAACAACCAATCATGGCTCAGTTGTGAATGTCACATGACCAAACTGAGAAATCAGGTGCATTCAGTTTACAACAAAAACAAAGGAATTAATCCTCCTGTTCCATTACTTACGGAGGGGAAGTATACTATACCATTCTCACTGAGATTCACATCTACGAACAATTTGGCCTTCACTGAACCTAAAATGACGTTCTTGGAAAATGGGAGGAACCCAGACTAGCAGGCACTCTCTCACCTCGATCACAACATGCTGCCTCCCAATCTCGAAGTTTGTAAATATGGTTCCCCTTGTGTCATCAAGTGGTTGCGCTGTATTAAGAAAGTATCGGCTGGGAAATTATCAATGAAGACTCGACATTTTTCCCTTCAAAATCAACATGCCTCACCATTTGTCAAACTTTTTGTCCTCATTTGGGAAGTGGAGACATTATCATGGTTCATTTAGTCAAGATAAAGCTTTTACTGCCTCCTGCTGGTGGCTCACTGAACCGGATTTTAATGCAATTCACGGAAACGGGGGTTGGGAGGGGGGACTGGGGACAGGGGAGGGCCGTTACTTGAGGGGTCAAAGAAATAAATAGCAAAAAATAGTACAGTCGTAGTAAAACTAGTTCCTTCTTTCTTCTTTCTACCTGAGCAATAGACCATTAACAAGCTGTGAGTGCATTAAATCTGCACTTAGAGGAAAAGAAAAACAAGAACTCTCCTTAAATGCTGAGTCAAATAAAATGTATTATTGCACATGAATGATTAATTAAAAAAATGCACCTAATGTTCACTACAGGAGCTTGTTTTTAAAACAATTGTATATTACTTGGCTTAATTTCTTTTTCATTATTGCATTCTTATGTTTTATGCTCATTCACTATTGTGCTCTAGAAATAAAGATACGATGCATATCATGTACATCTGTCAACCACTTTACTTGTGAATAACTTGGCGGACAGCATTCCAAACGAAATAGGATTTAAATATGTCAAGTGGTTATAAAGCCAACCAGTTAAAATGACAAAATGGGAATATTTTGTTGGAATGTTAAAAGCTTATATATTATTCCTATTTCAGCGTGCACATGATAGCTAGAGTATATTTAATTGGCGTTATGAGAGGGCAGTTGAAAAAATATCTCTCCCGTAAAGGTACCCCAGATGCAAAAAGTTTGAAAATATGATTTTGTCATTGAGCAGAGATTACTTTATCACGCAAAAAAATATTCTGAGGATCATACTCTTGTCTCTTAACTCTTGTCTCAGCACAGAAACTCATGAGAGGGTGCATGCCATGTTCACAGAACCCCAAATCTTTATTAAGCAAAGCTTTCACAGAGAAATTTATGAAGGACGGGGAGGAAAAACACAAGCAGCAGAGGTTGCAGGCAGATATCAGCGGTGCTGTATATTAAAAAGAGACTAGCCGGTTTGCTGAATGTATACAATCGCATCCCGCATCCGAAATTCAAGGCCAAACACACCTCAACGCTGAGCTCCTATTCTCCCGCAGCCAAGCAAGCGCACACTTTTTTTTTCATTTACGGAATCAATCTTACAGTCAGAGAATGTTCTCCGAGTCGAGATGCACGGTACCGATATGTCAGTACATCCCGGTGAAGGACTCAAGAAGGGAATCTGCATGTATTGAAACAGTTGCCGCCTTTTTTAAAAGACATTCTTAATCATAATTAAGCACCAATTAATAATCAGGCTCATTGAAAATGGACATTTTGTCTAATACATTCCAAGCGTGCGTGAGGAAGATACAAGTGGCTCCTGTTTGTTTCGTCTGCATTGTCTACTCTATTACCTCAGGTACACCTTACACCTTACATTCTTCACAAAGACACAAAAACATCATCGTCGTCGTCGTGACATCATCATCATCATCATCATCACCAAGAATACATTGCAAACGTCAGTCTACATCCATCTCACAATTCACAAGAAAAGAGTGGTGGCATCCAACAAAAAAAAACATCGTACAGTGCAGTACACAGAAACCAATAGATAGCTTGCTAGTTTACCAGGATAGATAGATAGATAGATAGATAGATAGATAGATAGATAGATAGATAGATAGATAGATAGATAGATAGATAGATAGATAGATAGATAGATAGATAGATAGCCAAAACTAATATGTACAAAATAAGACCGATCCCTCCCTAAAATTAAGAAATCCTTGCAGCTCTCGAGTGACACTGATGTCTGTCTTCATCGGTGATACTGAAGTGACTGATTAAATTGCTGATTGTTGTGATGTTGTGGTGAGGTCCTCCACCTGTTGGGCGCTCCAGGTTTGCATGTCTGTTTGGGAGAGGGTCGGAGCAGGTTGAGGAAGGGGGGGAATGGATGGATGGATGGATGGATGGATGGATGGATGGATGGATGGATGGATAGAATGAAGAAAGATGGAAGTTGAGACTTTTGCGCGGCGTTCACGCTGTCATCACTTCCCTCATCTCTTTGTTTCTGCGCACCAACGCTGCGTGTCTCTCCTAGGAAATAGCATCACACACACACAAAAAAACAGCTTAGTCATCACTACAGCAGGTGGCTACCTGATGGTGCCGTTTCTTGCGCCTTTACATTTTATATATATATATATATATATATATATATAAAATAATTTCCCCCCCTTCACAAATTTTACTGTGTCATGAGTTGTGTTTATATTATAACTTTGTTGGCAAACAAATGAGTCTACATTATGTATGTTTAGATTTTGTGCCACATAACTGCTGACTATTGTTGCTGCCGTTCACATTTATGTCATACGGTAGTACGGCATCTATTTATTTATGTCCGGCTTGCCATTCACATTTGCCTATAAAGTATTTATTACTGATATGCGGTTGCAAAACAAACTGCTGCCCTGCTCCATCTCATGGCCTGAGGTTGTAAAATATTTTTGAATATTTGATAGTGTTATTATTAAAAATATGACTTTTAGAATATTACAACTTCTTTTTGTATGATTTTTTTAAAATATATATTACCCAAGTAGTTAGTTGCCATCTTATAAAAACACCCTGCGGTGATATTTTACGATACATTGACCAAGACGAGTAGCACATGTCACCTTCTCCTGTAGACGCTCCAGCATGGCTGCCAGATGGGCGTCGCGGTTTTCCTTGATCTGTTCCATCTTCATTTGGAGCTTCTCCTCGGCCATCTTGCTGAAGTTATTGTTCTCCTCCAAGGCCTTGAACAGCACATCCCTCTCGTGCTCTCTCTTTTCGGCCAAAGCCCTCAGCACCTGTATTTCTTGGTACTAAAAATAAACGAAACACAGAGTCATTTGTATTGTATGTCTTCTGGAATGTCGGAAAAGTCACCTTTCTCCGCTCTTCGGCTGCCTCCAGTTTCTTCTCAATGTCGTCCAAGGAGATGTCCCTCTTTGGGGGGGATGCCAGGTTGTGGACTACATCTGATACTGGAGACAGGGGCTTGAGAATTACCTCAAACGCCTGGCCGGAGGCTCGCTTGTTTATCGGCTTCACCTCAATGTCTGCTGCGGGTCACATTCACTTGGTCAGAATTATAAGAAGGGAATGGGTGGGGCACATCTCTTGAAAATCAGTCCCTTACCTTCCAACTCATTCAGGACGGTGTTGCGTACTTCCGGGTAAAAGCAGGAGCAGATGAGCGAGAGGACTGAGAGTTCCTTCATCTTCTCCTTGTATGCTGCGGGAGGAACATCAACGCATCATCCAGGTGAGTCATCATTACAGTCAAACAACAATGTCATGATCCCTCAAAAGTGGACAGTAAAAGGCCATAAGAGCCTTGTTAAAAATTCATCGCATGGTATTATTCTTTTATGGAGAGGGTTAAGCAAGCGTTTGGCTTTAATGCGGGAGCATAATGGAAACCCGGGCACTCACAAGTGAGGATGGGCGACTCGAGTACCAATACCAGGTATCGAAATCAGGCCGATACCAGCCTCCTTTTAAGATATTGATACGCAACGCCGGCCAATACAAGTGCCTGAGAAAGTCACTTTACTAAGTTAGTATGGTAAAAAAACATTCGCCAGCAGTTTTTGTGATTTTCCTTGTGAAAAAATTTTGGGCGGCCCGGTGATCCGGTGGTTAGCACGTCGACCTCACAGTGCATCGGTACCGGGTTCAATTCCAGCTCCAGCCTCTCTGTGTGGAGTTTGCATGTTCGCCCCGGGTCTGCGTGGGTTTTCTCCGGGTACTCCGGTTTCCTCCCACATTCCAAAGATATGCATGGCAGGCTGATTGAACACTCTAAATTGTCCCTAGGTGTGAGTGTGAGCGTGGATGGTTGTTCGTTTGTGTGTGCCCTGTGATTGGCTGGCAACCGGTTCAGGGTGTCCCCCGCGTAATGCCCGAAGACGGCTGGGATAGGCCCCAGCACCCCCCGCGACCCTTGTGAGGATAAGCGAATTGGAAAATGGATGGATGGATGGATGAAGAAATTTTGAACACGCTCAAAATTCCCATGCGACAAAAAAAGCAGAGGCGAACGGCTGGCAACCGTTTGGCGAACATTTGCGACCTTGAACGAACCCTGACGAACTCAGATATCAACGCAACATTCGCTGCCTTCGAAAACATTCGCAATTGTTCGCCGCTCAGTGGATGACGGTTTTACAAGTGAAAGTGAAAAGTGACATCCCCAATCTCGTCCACATCATACAAAATATCTTCACTTGCGATGAGCTACTTCAGAAAATGTGTTTTTTTGGGGGGTGGGGGGGGGGTTAGTCTCATTGAAATGTATAGAAATATGCTTGACATTTTGCATGCAAACACTTTTACGAGGCACAAAGGCCCAAATTTTGTGGGGTGTGAGACAATTCAAGTCATGATCAAGTTCTGTTAGTGTCCAGCAGCTGGCAGAGGCGTTCCTGTTTTTCACAATTATTGGGACTATATAAGGACCTCATGGACCAACGTCACGCTGTCGGATGATTTTGCCTTGCTCAAGTCATTGTTCATGTGCATTTTGTCGAGACGCGCTCTTATTACTCTCGTTCCGTTTTTGGTGTCGTTGTCCAGTGGGAGCTCCGAAGTGAGTTTGGAGGTTTCGTGCTGGAGACCTCTACCATACATACATTTGTACCGGGATCCATTCACTTGCAAAAATTCCATTATTTTGAGGCATGGCAAACGGTGAATAATTCACTGGAAAAATAATGACAAGCATCACTTCCAAAAGGGGTCACTGATGGTGGTTCATTCACCTGGCTTGAGTGTAGCCAGTGTGGGTTCAGTTCACACTCAATGACAGTGTGAATGTGAATGAAAATGGCTGTCTGTCTTTATATGTGCATTGAGATTGAGTAGCAACCAGTTCAGGGTGTAGACATCCGAAGCCAGCTGGGATAAGATCCTCAAGAGGCTAGAAAATTGATTGGATGGATTCCAAAAGAGTCTAAATATATTGTTCAATATCTCTCCGACAGTGCCAATCAAAGCACTGTGAAGGCAATTTTCTACACATCTCTTGAGTTGGATCTCATTAGATCCCCTTGCGGTCGAGCAGTGGCGTGATAAGGAAGCTGACCATGTGTGTAAAGTAAATTCAGTTCCTGCATCCTGTGCACTCTAATCTGATGGGCCGGTCTGTCTTCACCTGCTGCTTTTGTAAGGTTGGACAGTATGTGATGAGGTTGCCAAAATACAAGTGCAGTCCTCGCTGCAGGCCTGGCTGGCTTCCCACCGCGAAAACTATGGCTTCTACTATTTGCTTTTCTTAATCTGGTTTGTTTGCATGTTACACCTGTCCTATAACAGTAACGCTATGTGCCAGAACTTGCTTACTTACGTGCATCAAAGCTATATTTTGCAATATATAGCAAACTCCGTATTGCGCAAGCTTTTATAGGTCAAACTTAAAAACAAACAAAAAAAAGAAAATATCTCGAAAGCCTGATATGTTTGGAAAAGAGGAAAGATATTTTTTTGAATCAACATCAAAAATACATTTAGAGAGACATAAATATATCTCTGAATAGAAATTTGCTGTTGACTAGCGTTATTTAAGTTAGAGAGAGCAAGAGTGGGGAACCATATCCCAGGAGAGTATTTGATCCGACCCGCCCACATATGCTCATAATACTAATTCACATTCGTTTGATTGCTGCATCATGTTTTCCCATCAATGTAGTATGGCCCTCTGGAGAATTGGGGGAAAAAACTGAAATGGCCCCTGATAGGCAAAAAGATTGCCCATGATGTTTGATCATTTTAATAGAGTCAGTCTACTAATTCTAAAAGAAAACGGCCTGTAATACAAAAGACCCCTTTGGGACAACCGTCCCACGCATTGTGTGGATAGCTAATAATGCCCTTTAAGCACGGCACTTAACCCTGCTGGAAATATGACCACATTATGAACATAAGAAGATTAAAAAGAAGATGAAGAGTCGATAATAATGCTCAGTTTTGATTGACACCCAGGTATTTGTCAAGCTAAATGACATCATGTAAAAATGAAAAAAGATAACAGGTGCACACCCACACTAACTTACTGTTAGATGCCTATCTGTTAAAACGGCGCATTAAGTAATTAGCTCAATTTTTTTCTACTGTGTGCGTGTGTGTGCTAAAACGGCGCATTAAGTAATTAGCTCAATTTTTTTTCTATTGTGTGCGGGTGTGTGTGTCCATTCAATGAATGAAAACAAAATCAAAACCTGATCTATTATGAAGTAAAACCGTTAAAGACAATAATACACCTTTTCATGTAGAATTTAACCTTCCGAACAGTTGAACATTGCTGCTACATATTCAAGTGTGAAACAACACACGTACACGTAACAAAGGATGATGCATCACCTCAGCGTTTTTTAAAAAAGGAACCATTTCCATTCACAGTTGACTAATAATGGTTCTTATAGAGTGTATAAATATGTATTTTTTTTTTTAAGTTGCAAGTATTGGTAGCCGGTGAAACAACACACGTACACGTAACAAAGGATGATGGATGCATCACCTCAGCGCTTTTTAAAAAATTAGTCATTTCCATTCAAAGCTGAGTAATAATGCTTCTTATAGAGTGTATAAATATGTATATATATTTTTTTTAATTGCAAGTATTGGTAGCCTAGCAATGGCAAAGTGATAACGCCCTCTCAGGCCTCAATAGTGGGCAGCATCAGCATCTTGGGTGGGGTCCGTCTGCATTATGCTGCATATTGAGGCCGATGGAGTGCTGGAGCGCGGATAGCTCAGTAAAATTCTTGCTAAATGCACTATTGCGAACATCTTAGACGAACAGGAATAGGAGACATATGAATAATTACACATATGATCTCGACGCCGGTATAAAATGGCTAATTGGTTCCTGCTTGCGTTGCACGACCACGGAGCTAATATCACGTAATATCACCGGCATAGTCAAGAACAGAAATCCATAATCTGTTCAAATATCACCGTGTATGTTCGCGCATCTTTCACATATGATTGCAAAGTGGCGATTTGTTACATTACGCGCAATCACCGGCCGGTAGACGACAAACACGCCCGGCCCATTAGAGATCCATTGAAAAAAAGAAGCATCAATCACCAAACAATTCCGCATTATTGCTTTCTCTCTCTGTCTCTCTGTCTGCAGTGTGCAGGGGCGGATCGGGTGACGGCGAGGAGGCGGGCGCATGTCCTCCGGCGAACACACGCACGCGCACACACGCGAGCACACACACGCACACACATCCACAGTGCACAAGTCGCACCCATTGAACCTATGACAGTAGGTAAAGGCGACCATCCACAAAGAAATGCTCACACATGCGTCAATAGATTCTATATAAAGCTGATTAAATTCCAGAAAAAGCAAACATTTGAGGTTTCATCGTCATTGGCCATAACATTCAGTACACTTGCACAATGTAGCTGAGGAAATGTGCCCTTGCATCTCGAAAATGACCCCACCCTACAAAAAAAAGTGGCATGTTTTTTCAGCCATTTACATGGCGTAGTCAATGAGAGCAAATAATTTTCAGCACCTTATATTGGTCAATAATTTATAAAAAATAAAATTAATAAATAGATAGAAAAACATAACACTGAAGAAGGTGGCCCGGTGTTCGAGTGGTTAGCGTGTCGACCTCACAGTGCAGAGGTACCGGGTTCGATTCTGGCTCCGGCCTTCCTGTGTGGAGTGTGCATGTTCTCCCCAGGCTTGCGTAGGTTTTCTCCGGGTACTCCGGTTTCCTCCCACATTCCAAAAACATGCATGGCAGGCTGATTGAACGCCCTAAAATTGTGCCTAGGTGTGAGCGTGAGCGCCGATGGTTGTTTGTCTCTGTGTGCCCTGCGATTGTCTGGCAACCGGTTCAGGGTGTCCCCTGCCTACTGCCCGAAGACAGCTGGGATACGCTCCCTTGTGAGGATAAATCCAGAAAAAAACAGAAAATGAATGGATGAATGAATGAATGAATAACTACAGAGAATATTGGTGTTTTTTTTTTAATTAAAATGATATGAGTCAAATAAAAACAAGGCACTGTACAACAATACTGAGAAAAAAAGCAATTAATCTCTTGATTCAAAGAACCAACACAAAAATAATTTAATCAAGTAAAATCTGCATTTACATTTCAATTTGAGATGTGAGAATTCACAGATAAGATCGCAAAACGCGTGGTCAAAAAAGTGGTCATTTCGGAATTGCTTCTCGTGCCTTGATCTGCTTCTTAATGTAATATCCCACAAGGATCTGAGGTCGCTGTTGGTAGCT